GCCACATTTCCCCATCCTCGTCCGATCTGCCTGCGGGGGAAGTTGCGTGCTTCGTGAGGATGTCTCACGTCGCGTGGTCCGTGCTGAGGTCGACACCGCAATCCATGAGTTGTGCGGCGGACAAAAGGTTGAAGCGCAAGTTTTGGACGATTAACACATCGTTGAGTGTGATGTGGGTGCGGCTTCCGCGTGCCTTGAGCACGACGATGCCTTGCGCGCAGGCGTGTGTTATTCGCCACAGTGACTTAGGTGACGGTAGGGGTGGGTATGGCGTTGGATATGTAGCGCTCGGACCCCACCATATGCTGGCCGCAGCAGCTGTCCAGGTACCAGGTGTTGTAGCGCTTGTTGTCGTCACGTGCGAGCAGCGCCAGTCGCGGCGTGACGATGTGCGGGGTGTCGAACTTAAGAAATTGTTCGCGCGTGAGCCAATAAAGTGGCGCCACCCGCATATCAGGGACGTGCGGGGGACTTTCGAGCAGCGGGACTGGGAGATTCCAGTCCTGGTCGTCGTTGTCGGTGTAGTCGCGGCGCGAGCTGAAAGGGTTGTTGTTGGTATATGCGCCAATGGGGTGTGGTGCTGGCTCAGGTGAAGGTGAGCGCATGCGGCGACGACGCGACTCGCTTGTCATGGTCATATTGCTCATGACATTGCGAACTTGTGCAGTCGATGACGACTGCTGCTGCTGGTGTTGAACCGCTGGGTTCAGGTTGCGCGCAGGTGGGAGTTGTTGTCCCTGGGCTGGACGCACGTTGCCTCGTGCGTCTTGTCAGCCGGTCCAAGTGCTCGGATTGGACTGGCGAGGGTGAGATCGGAATTTGCATCGATCCGCCAGGTGCCCGAAATTTCTGCAACTTTTGCAGTAGAGGCGCCTCGGCCGTCGCTCTTTGTTGTTGTCGGCGTAGAAGGCGAGCCGTTCGCGTTCTCGTCGTGGCGCTGGTCGCTGCTGATCCATATCCCTTTGTTCGACGAGAAGGGTGGCGCAAAGGGCGGCCTCCGAGATGACCCCCTGCTGTCGGAGAAGCGCCTTGCAGGGCCGCCACTCTGGGCCGAGCCCTTGAAGCACGATGTTGACGAATATTTCTTCCGATATCGTGCTTCCCAACTTCACGATTTGATCGCGAAGGCTCCGACAGCAGTTAAGGACCTTCTCCCCTGAGGTCATCTTGGTTTCCAGTAGCTCCTGGAGTAATCGGCTCGAGGATACGGAGTCCTTGGGCTGATACACGCCTGTCAGATGTCGCCAGGCGTTGAGGGCTGGAGCAGCTGTCGTTTTTTACGAACGAATGTTGAGCTGCTCCGCCGCCGACATATTTTGTAGGAGCACTCCGTATGCCATTAACGATTCGTTGTAGTACCTTGTCTTGGCATCGTCGGTGTCCTCAGCAGGCTCCGCGTAGCTCCCGTCGAAGTAATGGAAGATTTGGGCGTTCTGCAGCAAGAGCTCCAATTCGAAGCTCCAGGTATAGAAGTCTCTGCCGTCAAAACAGGTACTTGTCTTTATCTTTGATATGCTGAGAAACCTTGATTGAGCAGAGAGAATTGCCTCTTCACTGGGACGGGAAGTCTTGGGGGTTGAGCCATTGGTGTCGAGGGAGAATGTTTGCGGGGTGGTGTTTTGGCCAGTCGGGGCCGGTTGAGAGGGTTGCGAGGAAGTTCCCGCATCGCCATTCCGCAATGTTTGGAGTCCTTGCTCCAAGCTGGTGAGTCGCTGAAGGAGTTGTGCGAGAACTTCAGAGTCGACTGTCGTCGTGTTCCCGCTTGTTGCAGCCGGGTTGGGTTGTGCTTCAGCCGTCAGATTAGTCTGACCACCAGATCCTCCGGCCATCCTCGTGCGAGATCGTGTGCCGGTCGCCACTTTCCAGATGTCGTGATTTTCGGTAGTGACGGTGCGAAGGATTCCAGAGTCGCTCTCATACCATGCTGCGATCAGAAGTTGATCGTAGCCCAGGATCTACTCTGGTAGGTTCGTACGCTGTGAGGTAGTGTTGGTGGGCCCTTGATCTCAATGGCAGAGTAAATGTAAAATGCTTGAGATGATAAAACATGCAAATACAGCGATATAAATATGATTACAAGGGAATTCGAAACGACCTAACTAGCCATGTACTCTAAGGGGTACATTCCCTTATTCATGTGCATCCCAACCGTTGTGACTACCACGTGCTAGTGGTAGTCACAACGGGCACGTGAGGAGGAGGAGAGAGAGTGAGAGGAGAGGAGAAAGGAGGCGACGGCTGAAGCTGCAGACACACGGGCAACAGGAGGCACGCTGGCACGGCGGCTACCGGAACAACGCTCCAGAATACTGGAGTAACTGGCCCCGCGGCTAAAGTAGCGGCAGACGAGCAACGGACCCATGGGCGGCTGGCACAGCTGACTACGACTGGGCTAACGGAGCAACTCCCTGGACTACAGGTGCTGCTGGCGACACGACGGCAACCTCCACGCAGCTTCCCCAAACTATCCCACTCCCCCTGGCACACACCCTCTGCTACACTGCTAGCTCCACTCCCCCTTAGTACCACTCCACGGGCTCCAACACTTCCACCCCCCCTCAGTGGCAGCTGCAGCACAGGGAGACGGAGGAGGAGGAGGAGCAGGGAACGGCACACCATGAGGGCACCCCCATACCCCTCACCCCCAAACCCTAATTCAGGAGAATGGGGTGTAGGAGGAGTGGGGCGCCAGTAGAAGCACGGGGGGACAGCGGGGAGTGCAGGGGTATCAAGGAAGGGGCCCACCACGGGCCTGGTGCAGACGCCCGAGCCGCGCGCAGGCGGCCCGAGCCGCGTGCGGGCCTGGCGCCGTCCATACGGGCCGCGCGCGGGACTGGCGCAGCCCGTACGGGCCGCGCGCGGGCCTGGCGCAGCCCGTACGGGTGGCGCGTGGGACTGGCGCAGCCCGTACGGGCCGCGCGCTGCCTGAACGGGCCGCGCGCAGGCCACGACGGGCGACAGGGGGCGACGCGCGGGTCCCCGTCGCCCGTCGCGACGCCTCCAGAGGGCGACGCGGCGAACGACGGGGCAGAAGCCCGCCGCGCGCCTCAGGGCGCACAGCGGGCAGAGAACCGCCGCGCGCCTCGGGGCGCACGGCGGACCGAAAACCGCCGCGCGCCTCGGGGCGCACGGCGGGAAGAAAAAGTGCCGCACGCCACGGGGCGTGCGGCTCAGAGAGTAGTGTAGGTGTTGCAGCGGAAGCGAGGAGGTGGTAACCCACCCACAGGATCGATCCAAGGGGATCAACCTGCTCTTATAGCATGTGAAAGTTAGAAGAGAGAAGAGGATTGCAATAGCAAGAATGAGGATACAAATAGCAAACCCTAGAAGGGTTGTACTCGCTATAGAGCACCCCACTACAGGCTAGAGCATAAGATAACATTCTGACAGATGGGTGCAAATTTGTGTTGGACCAACTGCCCAGTTGGTCCAACTGGCTTGTTGGAACAGCTTATCAGCTGGTCCTACCGGTTTGTTCATCCAACAAGCCTGTTGATGTCGCTTCTTGAGGAATACATAGTACCATCCGCACAGGCAAGCAAACGACAAGGCCTGGCATCCACACTTACTCATTCGCCTTTGTAGTCGCCCTAAGAGTACCTGCATGTCCCAAATAAGGTGCTCGTCATCTTCGACGCCTACGTCGTCCTCTAACACGCTTACCCATTGCACCGTCCCAAGGAGAGGAGAGGAGAGGTGATGGGTGCAAATTTTTGTTGGACCAACTGCCCAGTTGGTCCAACTGGCTTGTCGGAACAGCTTATCAGCTAGTCCTACCAGTTTGTTCGTCCAACAAGCCAGTTGATGTCGCTTCTTGAGGAATCCATAGTACCATCTGTCCAGGCAAGCAAACGACAAGGCCTGGCATCCACACGTACTGGTTCGCCTTTGCAGTCGTCCTAAGAGTACCTGCATGTCCCAAATAAAGTGCTCGTCATCGTCGACACCTACGTCGTCCTCTAACACGCTTACCCATAGCACTGTCTTGAGGAGAGGAGAGGAGAGGTGATGGGTGCGAATTTGTGTTGGACCAACTGCCCAGTTGGTCCAACAGGCTTGTTGGAACAGCTTATCAGCTGGTCCTATCGGTTTGTTCATCCAACAAGCCAGTTGATGTCACTTCTTGAGGAATCCATAGTACCATCTGCACAGGCAAGCAAACGACAAGGCCTGGCATCCACACATACTGGTTCGCCTTTGCAATCGCACTAAGAGTACCTGCATGTCCCAAATAAGGTGCTCGTCATCGTCGACGCCTACGTCGTCCTCTAACACGCTTACCCATTGTAGGTACTCTTAGGGCGACTGCAAAGGAGAACCAGTACGTGTGGATGGGTGCGAATTTGTGTTGGACCAACTGCCCAGTTGGTCCAACCGGCCTGTTGGAACAGCTAATCAGCAGGTCCTACCCGTTTGTTCGTCCAACAAGCCAGTTGATGTCGCTTCTTGAGGAATCCATAGTACCATCTGCAAAGGCAAGCAAACGACAAGGCCCGGCTGTCAGAACATATCTATAGCTTATACTATTGTGTAGGCTGTAGTGGGGTATCCCATAGGGGGTACAACCCAGTTAGGGTTTCATATTTGTACTACCTTCATTCATAGTTCACACATTCCTGTTCTATAATTCTCACATGGTATAGAGCGGGTTCCCTGTGGGAACTTCGCCTAGGGCCCACCGAAGCGCGCCCCGAGGCGCGCCAACTTTTTTTTTTCTCTCGCTCGAGCGACCCTCCGGGTCGCCCTTCCCTCGCGGCCCCGCCGCCCCTTCAGACGCGGCCCCGCCGCCCTCTCTGACGCGGCCCCGCCGCCATTTCAGCCGCGGCCCCGCCGCCCATTTCGAACGCGGCCCCGCCGCCTGCTCAGACGCGGCCCCGCCGCCCGCTCAAGCGCGGCCCCGCCGCCTGCTCAGCCGCGGCCCCGCCGCCTGCTACGACGCGGCCCCGCCGCCTGCTCAGCCGCGGCCCCGCCGCCCGCTACGACGCGGCCCCGCCGCCTGCTCAGCCGCGGCCCCGCCGCCCGCTACGACGCGGCCCCGCTGCCTGCTCAGGCGCGGCCTCGCCGCCTGCTACGACGCGGCCCCGCCGCCTGCTCTGCCGGCCCCGCCGCTGCACCTGCCGGCCCCGCCGCTGCACCTGACAGCCCTGCCGTTCCCTCTGCCGGCCCCGCAGCTGCACCTGACGGCCCCGCCGTCCCCTCTGCCGGCCCGCCGCTGCACCTACCGGCCCCGCCGCTGCACCTGACGGCCCCGCCGTCCCACCTGCCGGCCCCGCCGCTGCACCTGACGGCCCCGCCGTCCCCTCTGCCGGCCCAGCCACTGCACCTGACGGCCCCGCCGTCCCCTCTGACGGCCCCGCCATCCCCTCTGCCGGCCCCGCCGCTGCACCTGACGGCCCCGCCGCTGCACCCGCCGTCCCCGCCGCTACACCTGCCGGCCCTGCTTCACCGGCCCCGCCGCCCCTGGTCTCGCGGCCCCGCCACCCCACCTGCACCAGCCGAGCAGCAGTGCGACCGAGCCGCCCCGCACCCGAGCCACCTGGCACCCGAGCCGCCCTGCCGCCGAGTCGCCCGGGAGCCGAGCCGCCCTGCACCCGAGCCGCCCTGCCGCCGAGCCGCCCGGGAGCCGAGCCGCCCTGCACCCGAGTCGCCCTGCCGCCGAGCCGCCCGGGAGCCGAGCCGCCCAGCAGCCGAGTCGCTGAGTCGCCGAGCCGCCCTTCTGCAGAGCTGCCCCGGCCTGCCCTGCCTGGTGAGCACAGTCCCACTGTCACTGCGTGCTACTGCTCTTCCCCTACTGCTTGGACTGCTTCGCTGTCGTAGTCATGGCTACCCCTAGTGTCCTAGCTTTTGACGCTGAGGGTCGCGCCATTGACTTTGAGGTCTGGGTCGACGACCTGCTGTTGTTTTTACAGTGCGATAGCGCAGACGGCCTCTCCCTCTTTGACCTCACTTCTGGCGCCTCTCCTGCCCCTGCTGCTGATGCTGATCCCACTGTGCGCTCTCAGTGGGCCACCCGCGATGCTGCTGCACGTCTTGCTGTGCGTCGCCACCTCCCTACCTCTGAGCGCGCGCACTTTAGTCAGTACAAGAGTGCTCAGACCTTGTACGACGCGGTAGTTGCGCGCTACTCCTACCCTGCCACTGCTGCACTGAGCCGTCTCATGCTTCCCTACCTCTTTCCTGACCTCTCTGCCTTTCCCTCTGTCGCTGACCTCATTACGCACCTCCGCACTAGTGACACTCGCTACCGCGCCGCCCTTCCTGCTGAGTTCTGCGCTAATAACCCCCCCCCCCATGTACATCACTCTCTACTACGTAGTCGCGCGCCTCCCTGACTCCCTTCGCGTAGTCAGGGACCACCTTCTCGCAGTCTGTCCCACCACCCTCACCGTCGACGTCCTCGAGAAGGCCCTTCTCGCGGCGGAGAAGAGCATCGTCGCTGTAGGAGCTTCTCGTGGTGACCCTCCAACCCCCATCTTTGAAGGGTGCTCTCCTTCCCCCCTCCTGCCCTCTGTTGCCTCTGCTGCTGCTGCCGACCTGCTTGGTCTCGAGTCGGTTGGCGCGGCGTCTGCCCCTAGTGGGAGACGCCGCTCTGGCAGGGGCAAGGGGGGCAAGGGCGCTGGTGGAGCTGGAGGGAACGGTGGAGGTGGCGGTGGAGGCGGCGGAGGGAGTGGGGGTGGCGGCGGGAGTGGTGGCGGGGGTGGTGGTGGTAGTGGTGGCAGCGGCGGAGGAGGCGGCGGTGGTGGCGGCGGCGGTGGTGGTGGCGGCAGTGGTGGCGTTGACGGTGGGGGAGACGGCGGCGGAGGAGGCGGTGGTGGAGGAGGATGTGGAGCTGATTGAGGCGGTACCCAGCAGCGGAGCAGCGGTGGTGGTGGTCAGCGCTCGCAGCAGCAGCGTTCGCGTGACGTCCCTCCGCCCCAGCAGCTCCGTGAGTGGTACACTCGGCGTCAGAGGGGTGGGGGTACTGGTCCTTGTACCTACGTCCTTCGCTCTGGCGACCGCGCGGGTGAGCAGTGTGGGGGTGCCCACCCCACCCAGCGCTGCTTTGGCCGCCTGACGGACGCTTGGCGTTAGCAGTTCCCCGGGGCTAGTGAGATCCCTCGCTGGGATGAGCTTCTTAGGGCTGGTGTAGCGATCTTTGATCTTGATTTTGATGCTATCCTTGCTGCTATGTATGCTGTGACTATTAGTGAGGAGGGTGACTGTTACCGGTGTTTCCCGCCCGACCCGAGCATTGGTACTGCTGCGCTAGGTGCTTGTGAGGCTCCTGCTCTAGGTGCCAGTGCGTCTGCGCTCTCAGGTGCTGGTGAGACTGCGCTCTCAGGTACTGCGTCGCCTCCGTCCTCCCTCACTTTCACGCTCGACTCCGGGGCTTCTCGCTCCTTCTTTCGAGACCGCACTACCCTCACGCCGCTTGGCCGGCCCGTTGCAGTCTCCCTGGCTGACCCCTCTGGGGGTCCTGTCCTCTCTCACTTCTCCACTGTCCTCCCGTGTCCGGCTGCCCCTTCGGGCACCCTGTCTGGTCTGTACCTTCCCTCGTTCTCTACGAACTTGGTGAGTGGTGCGGGCCTGCAGGATGCGGGGGTTCACCAGTTCACTCCTGCGAGTCAGCGGGTGACCCACTGCACGGACGCACGCACAGGCCGACACCTGGCCACGTTCTCACGTCGGCCGGGGTCGAGCCTCTACACCCTGACCACTACGTCTCCTCCTGTCCCTGCGTCTGGTCAGGTAGCTGCGTCAGGTCAGGTGTTTGCTGCTGCGTCCCGGTCTGGCCCTGAGTCTGCCCCCTGTTCGTGTCGCCTCCTTTCTCACGAGACTCTCCTGTGGCACCACCGTCTTGGCCACCCCTCCCTGTCCCGTCTTCGGGGCATGGCTTCCCGTGTCCTTGTCTCAGGTCTTCCCCGGTCTCTCCCTCCCCTTCCTTCGGGACCGGGACCTTCCTGTATTCCCTGTGTCGAGGGGCGCCTCCGGGCTGCTCCTCACTCCTCCCAGTTCCCCCCGACAGAGGCTCCTCTGCAGACGCTTCACATGGACGTGTGGGGCCCAGCCCCCGTCCGTGGGAAGGGTCACGAGCGCTACTTTCTGTTGGTGGTTGACGACTACTCGCGTTACACCACAGTCCTCCCCTTGCGCAGCAAGGGTTCTGTCACTGAGGTGCTGATCGACTGGATCCGCGAGGCTCGTCACCAGCTCAGGAAGATCTTCGGCTCGGACTTTCCTGTTCTGCGTCTGCACTCGGACAGAGGCGGAGAGTTCTCCTCGCGCCTTCTGCGAGACTACTGTCGTGCACGGGGGATCCGCCAGACCTTCACGCTTCCGGACTCTCCACAGCAAAATGGGATTGCTGAGCGCCGCATTGGCATGGTCATGGATGTCGCTCGTACGTCCATGATGCATGCGGCTGCCCCCCATTTTCTGTGGCCATTTGCGGTGAGGTACGCGGCGCATCAGCTCAACCTTCACCCTCGGGTCTCTCGGCCCGCGATGTCCCCAGTCTTGCTGTGGACGGGGAAGGTTGGCGATGCGTCGGCGTTCCGTGTCTGGGGATCTCGGGCGTTTGTCCGCGACTTGTCTACAGACAAGCTGTCCCCTCGTGCTGCTCCCTGTGTCTTCCTTGGCTTCCCCACAGACGCTCCCGGGTGGCAGTTTTACCACCCCTCCTCTCGTCGTGTTCTGTCCTCCCAGGACGTCACGTTTGACGAGTCAGTCCCCTTCTACCGCCTCTTCCCCTACCGCACTCCTTCCCTCCCCCCTCCGCCGGACTTCCTTGTGCCGGTTCCCCCCCCGGTAGACCCCCTCCCCCCTCAGGTTTCTGCCCCCTCAGGTGTGTCCCAGGTAGACGCAGTTGACCCGGTCGAGGTTACTGGTGACTCTGGTGCTGCAGCGGGTGCTGAGCCTGGGGGTGCTGACTCTGGGGGTGCTGTGCGCGGGGGTGCCGAGCCTGGAGGTGCTGCTACTGGGGGTGCTGAGCCTGGGGGTGCTGGGCCTTAGGGTGCTACTGCGGAGGGTGCTGAGCCTGGGGGTGCTGAGCCGGGGGGTGCTGTGCCTGGAGCTGCTGAGCTAGGGGGTGCTGGGTCTGGGGTTGCTGAGTCTGGAGCTGCTGAGCCTGGGGGTGCTGCGTCTGGAGCTGCTGAGCCTGGGGTTCCTCCTGCTGCAGCGTCTCGCCGGGAGCCCCTCTCTCCACAGGAGCTGCGCGAGTGGTTTGCTCGCCGCTGGAGGCGTACTGCTGGAGTTGGAGCTTCTTCGACCGTCGAAGGTGCTGGTGGTGCCGGTCCCGGAGCTCCTGGGCCTGCGGGTACTACTAGAGCTGGAGCTGCTGAGGGTGTTGGTGCTGAGACTACTGCTGTCTGTCCCGGCGGTGGTTCTACTGCTGGTGCTGCTGGAGGTCCTGCCGCTGGAGGTGTTGGTGGCGCTGGTGCTGTCGCTGAGGGTGCTGGTGCTGTCCCTGCTGAGTCTGGAGCTGCCGCGCGGCCTCGGCCGTACTTCGTTCCGCTCCTACAGCAGGTTCTTGGTCTTTCTCCTCCGGTAGAGTGTCCACAGCCTGTCCAGTCGCTATCACTTTTGGAGCCTTCCTCTCCACTGCCTGCTCCCTCTCCTTACACTGGTCCTACTGGAGGTCTTGCTGAGCGTCGTGAGCCTGCGTCTCGTCCTGCGTCGCCTGTTCGTGCTGCTCGCACTAGTGGTCGCAGTTCGCGTCAGCGTCCTCCTCCTGTCCCTTGCACGCACCGGATGTCTCTGCGTCCGTCCAATGCTCCTCTGCGTGCCCCTTTGCCTTTTCCTCCTGAGTCCTCTCTTCCTGCGCTTGCCGACCCTGAGTCGGACTCCCTTCGTGCTGCCAGTCCTACTGTCACGCGTCTGCTTGCTACTGTCGTCACTGACCCCTCTTTTGAGTCCACTGCTGCGTCTGCTCTTGTCGCTGAGCTTGTCGACTTTGCTGCTCGTTGTCGTCTAGACTACGCTGCTAGTCTTGTTGCTGAGTCTGCGTCTGTCTGTCCTCCATCCGTCGGGGGTGAGTGTGCTCTTCGGACGGACGTCCTAGAGGACAGGCAGGAGGAGTTACAGTGTCTGGCTGCTGCTTCACCTCATCTCGCGTCTGTACTGCTTGCTCCTGAGGGAGACCCGGATGCACTAGACATCCCGACTCCCGGCTCTTACGCGGAGGCCGTAGAGGGTCCCTACTCGTCTCAGTGGCAGGCAGCTATGGATGCAGAGATGGCTTCCTGGAAGTCCACAGGCACCTACGTTGACGCAGTTCCCCCTCCTGGGGCGAACATCGTCAGTGGCATGTGGATCTTCAGGGTGAAGCGGCCGCCAGGCTCTCCACCTGTCTTCAAGGCACGGTATGTTGCTCGTGGCTTCAGTCAGCGGCAGGGAGTTGACTACTTTCAGACCTTCTCTCCCACCCCGAGGATGACCACTCTTTGGGTGCTGCTGCACATAGCCGCTCAGCGCGACTACGAGCTTCACTCTCTCGACTTCAGCACTGCGTTCCTGCAGGGTAGCCTGCACGAGGAGATCTGGCTGCGCCGTCCACCTGGCTTCACTGGGAGTTTCCCTCCTGGCACCCAGTGGAGCCTCCGACGGCGAGTCTATGGTCTCCGCCAGGCACCGCGTGAGTGGCACGACACACTGAGGACTACGCTTGCGACTCTTGGGTTTGCTCCTTCTACTGCTGACCCGTCACTGTTTCTGCGCACCGACACTTCTCTACCGCCGTTCTACATCCTCGTGTACGTCGACGACTTGGTCTTTGCCACAGCGGACACTGCTGGACTCGCCTGCGTGAAGTCCGAGCTGCAGAAGAGACACACGTGCACAAACCTGGGTGAACTGCGCAGCTACCTTGGCTTGCAGATCACTCGGGACAGAGCACGCCGCACCATTACCTTGACTCAGTCACACTGCAGCAGGTCCTTCAGCGCTTCGGCTTCACGTACTTTTCGCCTCAGGCCACTCCTCTGTCTACTCGCCACTCGCTCTCAGCTCTGCCTTCGGATGAGTCCGTAGAGTCGAGTGGCCCGTACCCAGAGCTTGTTGGCTGCCTCATGTACCTGATGATCTGCACACGACCTGACCTTGCATACCCTCTGAGCATTCTTGCACGCTATGTTGCTCCTGGGAGACACCGACCAGAGCACATGGCTGCAGCGAAGAGGGTATTGTGCTACCTGTGCAGTACGTCGGGCATGGGGCCAGTGCTTGGAGGGCGGAGTCCAGTGGTCCTTACAGGGCACGCGGACGCTTCTTGGGCTGACGACCAGGCTACGCAGCGGTCGTCATAGGGTTACACCTTCAGTATTGGTTCCGGCTCTGTCTCGTGGCGGGCTACTCGTTCGTCTTCGGTTCTCAGCTCCAGTTGTGAGGCTGAGATCTACGCAGGGGCCATGGCTGCACAGGAGCTTCGCTGGCTCACCTACCTGCTGACTGACCTTGGAGAGCCGCCTCGTTCTCCTCCAGTGCTGTACGTAGACAACAAGGCCATGCTGGCCTTGTGTCGAGAGCAGCGTCTGGAGCACAGAACGAAGCACATTGCTCTTCGCTACTTCCTTGCTCGTGAGCTACAGCAGCGTGGACAGTTGCGGCTTGCGTACGTGGCCTCTGAGTCCAACACTGCTGATGTGTTCACCAAGGCACTCGCGCCTTGTGACCATCAGCGCTTCTGCACCCAGCTGGGTCTTGTGCCTGTCTTGCCTCACTTGCTCTCCTCTTGACTTTACTTGTACTGTGACATATATATATACCTGCTCTTGCTTGTCTAGTTTTATATATATATGTCTGCACTCCTGCATGTGAACTGGCCTCTGGCCCTGCTCTTGTGCTCGGACTGTGTGGTGACTTTGTGATCCACCCTGAGCTTGCTTTGCTTTGCTTTGCTTGACTGGTCTTGTGACCCCTTGTTCTCCCCCACTTTGCCTATGCGGGTGTGTCAGAACATATCTATAGCTTATACTATTGTGTAGGCTGTAGTGGGGTATCCCATAGGGGGTACAACCCAGTTAGGGTTTCATATTTGTACTGCCTTCATTCATAGTTCACACATTCCTGTTCTATAATTCTCACACCGGCAGCCACACATACTGGTTCGCCTTTGCAGTCGCCCTAAGAGTACCTGCATGTCCCAAATAAGGTGCTCGTCATCGTCGACGCCTACGTCGTCTTCTAACACGCTTACCCATTGCACTGACCCGAGGAGAGGAGAGGAGAGGTGATGGGTGCGAGTTTGTGTTGGACCAACTGCCTAGTTGGTCCAACCGGCTTGTTGGAACAGCTTATCAGCTGGCATTGGGGTGCCCCACTACAACCTACACAGACTATAGCATATAAGTTTGACCAAAACGGTTCTCACTATTATAGCCGATGACTTAGTAATTTCTTGAAATGTAAAAATATATATATATATATGTATGTATCATTATTCTTCCAATGATGCACCTCATTTCTAGAAATTACGAACCTTAAAAGGAAATCTCATCGAAATCTTGATTGTCATAGTAGAAATGCCATAACGAGTCAATTGACGTCAACGAATTTGCAGCTCGATTTTCTCTAGTTACCATCCCTTCAATTCTGACAAGATCAAATGCATTGGCATTGGCATTGGCATTAGCAGGCGCTGATGTGGCATTGGCAGAAATGCACGGAAGCATAGACACGATAAATAAAGGTGGGAAGGTGGCGCAGACGGGGAGCTTGACTAGCAATGACGTAAGCTGTCACCTAGTAAAACTAGGTACAATTTATGCCTGTTTGAGCCCCTCCCATTTTCCTTCTGAGGGGGGCGTGTATGCTGTATCGTACATTTCGCATAAGTTTCGTCAATTTGCAGCTACCTAAAAAGGATTCGCAGGTGCTTATATTTAGTATTTGTAACCTTATCCGTTGACATTTTGACTTCAATCTCTTCTGCTTGACTTCGGTCTGTTCGTTACTATTGGTCTATAACCACGCAACGCACTTGTATCGTAGGTGCAATAGGCTGCGGAAAATACCTCGGGTACAACATTTCCATCCGGTGCAGGGCAAATTCGCGTGCACTGGTTGGGCATCATGTGTAGTCAAGATCAGGTGAGGCTGACTGGCTTGAGGTGTGCTCGCAACTGCTTGTGGCGCGTGCTAGCATAGGGAACTGTGCGTGAAGCAAATCAAGCGTGCTGACACAAGCTCCAACTTACATAATGTGAGTGTGACCTAGCCTCTCTTTTTGTTTTCGGGCACTCTTCCAAATTAGGGTTTTCGCCGAGTGCCACCCAACTAAGGCTAGGTGGCATGTGGCCATTTCAAGGTTTTCTTGCTACAACTGATTATGTCAGGGTAAATTTCTCAGGGACCCTATTTTGCAGTGTAACTATAGCCAATACATGGCCTCCAAATCTAATATGACATCGATGGAGCGTACCCAAACACGACAGAGCAAAATTGAGCTAGCTCAACTTGCCCTCGTGAGAGTTGTTGTACCTATGACTGGCTCGCTCTACATCTATGGAGTCTGTGTACTTCAACTCTTTTTGACAACTTAGATATTGTCATACAAAATGGCCCAAGTGGAAGAAGACTCTGTCAGGAATGAGAAGTGATTGCACTAGGTCAAATGTGGGGTACAAGTAGGAAACCCTAAAGTTATCATACCCAATAGTATCTACCCCACTACAGCCTAAACAAAGTATAGCAGATATAACATTTGACACACCCCCATAGGCAAAGTGGGGACACAAGACCAGTCAAGAAAGGCAAAGCAAGCTCAGGGTGGATCACAACGTCACCACACTCACTAAGCACAAGCAAGAGGCCACAAGGCCATTTCACATGCAGAGGCATATATATAACACAAGCATCACAGTGATCTATACCTAGCAAAGCAAGCATGCAGGTGTATATATATATAGATCACAGTACAAGCAAAGTCTACAACAAGTGAGGAAAAATGGGCACAAGCCCTAGCAAAGTGCTGAAACGCTGATAATCACCACCCTGAAGTGCCTGAGTGGCCACGTAACGCAGACGAAGCTGACCACGCTACTGCAACTCTCGAGCCAGGAAATATCTTAGGGCGATGTGCTTTGTTCTGTTCTCCAGACTGTGCTCCTCACACAAGGCAATGGCAGCCTTGTTGTCGACGTACAGCACTGGAGGAGAACGAGGCAGCTCTCCCAGGTCGGTCAGCAGGTAGGTGAGCCAGCGTAACTCCTGTGCAGCCTGTCAGTAGAGCTACACTGTGAGATCCCCGATCGATCCTAAGGGGGGTTACAAGCACGTTTGCTTAGGGGGTTATGGGCGCACTGACCCGCTACTGAAATAAGCCCTTTTATCCGAATGGTCTAGTGGTTGGGATTCTGACACAGCCATTGCTGTGGCGTAGATCTCAGCCTCACAACTGGAGCTGAGAACTGAAGACGAACGCGTAGAACGCCACGAAACTGAGCCAGAGCCAAGGCTGAAGGTGTAACCCTGTGACGACCGCTGAGTAGCCTGGTCGTCAGCCCAAGAAGCTTCTTAGTGCCCAGTGAGAACAACTGAGCTCCTCCCTCCAAGCACGAGCCCCATGCCCGATGTACTACACAAGTAGCGCAGTACCCTCTTTGCAGCATCCCACTGCACCTTTCAGTGCCTACCAAGAGCCACGTAGCGAGCCAAAAGGCCAAGAGGGTAAGCTAAGCCAGGACGAGTGCAAGTCGTCAGGTACATGAGGCAGCCAACTAGCTCTGGGTAAGGACCACTCGGCTCTACGGACTTGTCCGAAGGTGGAGCTGAGAGCGAGTGACCTGTAGCCAGAGGAGTCGCCTGTGCCGAGGACCAGGTGAAGCCGAAGCGCTGAAGGATCTGCTGCACCATGTGTGACTGAATCAATGTGATGGTGCAGCGTGCTCTGTCCCGGGTGATCTGCAAGCCAAGGTAGCTGCGCAATTCACCAAGGTCTGTGCACGTGTGTCTCTTCTGCAGCTCCGACTTCACGTGGGCGAGAGCCTTGTGAAGAATAGTGAGGATAGTTAGGAGCCATAGCTAGGTGAGCCCTAGCTAGGCAAGTGAAAGTTTAGGCAAAGAAGTAGGAGATTTCACTAGCAGCAATGAGGATACATATAGCAAACCCTAGATGGGTTGTACTCGCTATAGAGCACCCCACTACAGGCTAGAGAATAACATTCTGACACACCCCCATAGCCAAAGTGGGTTGTAATTATTACAATGAGCAAGCAGGTATAGAGCAGGAGTTCACAAAGGTAAGCAAAGCTAGAGCTAATCACAGAGGCAAGTGAGGAGGAGGAGAGACTGTGGGGGAGAGAAGATGGGAGGCGACTGCTGAAGCTGCAGACACACAGGAGCTGCTGGCTCAGTGGCTACCGAAGCAAAGGCCCGGACTACTGGAGTAACTGGCTCCACGGAGATTGCAGCCTCGAGACCGAAGCAACTGACCCACAAGCGACTGGCGACTACCGGAGATTGTAGCCTCCGGACTGCTAGTGCTGCTAGCGACAAGACTGTTGCCTCCACTCAACCTCCCCCAGCTGTCCCACGCCCCTCTCACACACCCCCTGCTCAAACCTTAGCTCCACTCCCACAGCACCCCCCTTAAACCCTAAACCCCCAGAATCCCACACATCCACCCCCCTCGGCGACAGCTGAAGCAGTGGGAGACGAAGGAGGAGGAGGAGAAGGGGACGGCGCGCACAACCGACACCCCCACAACCATCACCCCCACACTCCTCACCCCCAAAACCCTAAAACGGGTGGGATAGGGGCAGGAGCGCGGGGGATGGTGAGGGGAGAACAGCGCGCGACCCCCAGGGCGCCAGAACGGATGGGCTGGGCGGGTGGAGGGGGGTGGCGTGCGCTGCTCCCCAGGGCGCCGCGACGGACAGGCGGGAGGGACGCGCGCGCGGCTCCTCAGGGCGCCGCGACGGCCTGACGGGGCGCGTGCGCGCTCCCGAGGGAGCCGCGACGAACGAGCGGGGCGTGCGCGGGCTCCCCAGGACGTCGCGACGAACGGGCGGGGCGCTTGCGGGCTCCCCAGTGCGTCGCGACGGACGGGCGGGGCGCTCGAGGGCTCCCCAGGGCGTCGCAACGGACGGGCAGGGCGCTCGCAGGCTCCCCGGGGGCGTCGCGACGTGCAGGGTGGGGTCCGCGCGTGCTCCTTAGGACGCCGCGACGGACGAGCGGGGCGCGCACAGGCTCCCCCACGGCATGAAACCGCCATGCGCCCCGAGCGCACGGCGGGCAGAAAACCGCCGCGCGCCCCGAGCGCGCGGCGGGATGAAAAAATTGGAGGTCGCGCGCCACGGGGCGCGCG